TTTTACTTCAGGTCAGATACTATTGCGGCGACACCTGTGAAAACACTACGTTCACGTAATGTAGACATAACTGGTCACACGATATCTCCACAATTAGTACACCAGTATGGAATAGTAAAGCAAAGTCGGCTCTCTTTGTCAAATAAAATGAAGCATTCTAGTAATAATGGATTTCTACAATCGAATAGAGTAAGGTCTTCCTCCTTGCCATCCAGTATAAAACAAACGAACAATAATACTGGGAACGGAGCTTGTTCTACAATTAATCCTACGAACACAGGATGTAATTCTAGTTCTGGGATGGCCAAGAGAGTGAAATCACCTTACAATCCGAGTGCTAGATCATTAAGCTCGCGATCTCGCATTAAGCGCCTTGGAAAATGAGGTAGGGTAACGTACGTTAATTACATTACTTGTTACATTAAACAGGGTATCGTTTCTTACCCTCACCAAATTTTTATTTACTTCGCGCCTTGCTTTTCATCTTCATGGAAAGATTTGATGGCTAGCTGAAAAAAATAAAAAAAAAAAATGCTCTCATTTCTACTGTTGCATTTTATCTTAAAACTTGAAGATACTATAGGCAAGCTCTTGTCTCGATTTTCCAAACATCTCGACGGAATTGGGTTTGCATTTTATGGACCAATCAATTACTAAATTTAAAACAAAACAAAACAAAAAAAAAAAAAAAAAAACGAAAAAAGCGAAAAAGAGGAGGTAAAGAAGAATTATCAACGATTTCCGTTGTTTCCTATTTTAGTATAGTTCTAACTTGTTAAAAAACGATTTACTAGTAAATAATCGCGTATATGAGCATACTAAGTAGGTCAACAATTTTCTTATCGATACACAGTAGTGTTTTACTACTTCCACGGCACACTGGGTGAAAAGTCGATTGTATTTTTCATATTTACGCTGTTTCACAAATTGGAAGATATTTAGCAATAATGTAGATACCGTTCGAATAATATAACGTGTTTCTTCGTGTTTGAAAAAATGAAGAACATCAACCAGAAATTGCATGCGTAATTTTTCCAACAGATATCTTTTACTATTATCCAACACGTGTGTGTTTTTTCTTTCATGCCGTGGTAATGAATAGTTTTTGATTTTCAAAAATCAATGTTCCTCTTTTGATAATAGATCACCATGCTAGTTCATTCGTTTTAGTAGATTTTTTCATCAGGAAGCCAATTAAACACATTTATCATTTTCCACTTCCTTAAAAAGTCGTAGCACCTTGTGGGATTGAAAAGAATAGTATGACTTAAAAATTTGTTTATTTGACAATTATTTAACAATGTATTGATACTTTTTAAAGCGTGTGAAATATCATTTATTTTTAATATTTATATATATATATATATTATTTATTATTTAAGATTACGAAGTGAATTGGCACCTAGTACTACCAAAAATTCTGTCAACTGAAATAAAAATTTTTTACAATATAGTATATGGTAAATTAAAATATCTGCTACATTCTAAATAATTTTGTGAAAAATAATTCGTAAAAATTTGAGATTTATTGTATTAGATAGTATTTAAAATTTCCTGGGCATCAAGTCAAAAAAGCATAGTTTAAGAAAAAGTCAGTTTAAAGATCCAAATAAATTTTTTCGTCATAATATTTGTATAATGTTCAAAATTTAGAAAAGCGTAAAAATTCCCAATTTTCTCAAAACCGACAAGGTTTTATACCAGATTAAATATCGGATTAATATTAAAAGACTTCTTTCATTACTTTATGCTTTCTAGTATTTGGCTAGCTTGTTAAAATATTAATTGTAAAAGAGGAAGTTTGAAACAAGAGAAAAGAAGGAACGTGAACATATGTATAAAATGTATGAGCCTGAGAGCAAAAGAAGTAGTGAATGACTGTATTGACAGAGCGTATATGTGTGATTTGTAAAAATTATTTCCAATGATTTCTTCAAATATTGTAGTCTTCAACGCGAAAATGACTTTTAAAGGACGAATCCTTGAAAGAGAAAATGTAATTTACTTACAGTAAGATTTAAAACAAATGAAGATATCTAATACGTAGGTACGTATTTAATTCAGCGATTCGCTTTGGCCAAGTATGGTGACGACTGTTCAAGATTCACTTGAAGCGTTAAGGAAAAAGAAAACGTGTATAATCATTAAATTTTGATATTTAACTTTATACAATGGCAGCACAAAGTCTAAGAAAGTCTTTCGATATAATAAGAAAAAAGATTAGATAAGTCCCGATTCTATCCTATTCATTAAGCATTTAATCGTTCGTCTAATCACGACGGAATTTTGAATAGTGACTATCTTGGTACAAAGCGACACAAAACAAAAAAAGATGACTGTCTATTGTGCGATACAAAATTTAGATTATATTTAGGGCGAAGAAAAAATAAAGAAAAGAAGAGTATAAATGAGAATGAAAGAAATGACGAATTCATCTGTTTATAGATATGATATGTAAATCGTTGAAACGGTGATCGAGAGGCAAATCTTTCGTATAATTTTATGCTTAAATCATTAAGTAGAAACACATTGTATTGAAATCTTTTTTTTTTTTTTCCTTTTCATTTATTACGAATGCGATCTTGAATATATGTTTTATGGTATTATTTTTAAGATTATTTAAAATTTGTGGGTAGTCAGAAAACATACTTCAACAGTTTGATGAAAGTTTAATTGTATGCGTGTTAGTAATAATATAATCAGAGAAGGAGAGTGAGACGGTAAATTCTCGACTACATTTTACAACTTTATTTCATATACAACATATATTCTCTAATGTAATATTTGTTGCAGAGATCGTTAGAGGATATTTAATATTACAATAAGATTATTTGTAAGACAATTTTTAGTTGACTTTTATTTGTTGGAATATTTTTTTTATATAAATAGTATGGTGATAATGCAAGAGAATTTACTACGTCCACAGGATTGTTTGATCAAACAAAGAGAAAAATAATAAAAACGTTGGGAAACATATGTTTATACGAATTTATCAATATTTTTATATTTTTATGTTTCATCATAGACAGTACAGAGAGAAAAACAATTATATCAAAGAAGAATAGAGAAAAATGTATGATAAAAGAAAATAATGACACGTGCCTACAATAGTTACCATTGAAGTTTGTATATATATATGTATAAAGTGTATTCATATATCATGGACCAAGAAGAAAGTAATTTTTTCATTGTTGCATAGTGAAGATATAAATACCAAATGAAAAAAATATATATATTATGAGATAGATATAAAATCTGAAATGTATAAAATAAGAACGATCTCTTCTTGGTGCATGTGATACAAGTGGCACTATCTATACATATAGATATATATCTATAAGTATGTATGTAAATATATATAAATATATAGACGCATATATATACATACATATTGTAAAATAAAAGCGCGCGTATATTTGCAAGTCGTCTATATATGTGTAGATATAATTTAAAAAAAAAAATAAGTTAGATGATTGTGCTCATAAGAGACATAAACAAAACCTTTGCTAGCTTTTATTTATATACATGAGAAATTCTAATAGTTACAAGGAGAGTAAAATGTAGAAGTGGACGAACAACAAAGGATCCGTCTAGTTCTGTGCTTGTAGATTTAAAATTCGTTACATAGATCCTGAATTTAAAAAAGAAAAAAAGAAAAAAAAAGAAATAAACTAAGTATTTCTCTGAGAGCCGAAGTAAACGGAGAAAGAGAGAAATAAGATTTAACAGAAGAACGCAAAGAAATGTATGAACAGAAATTTATAGTGGTCTATCTCAGGTTAAGTATAGGTTGAAAGAGGCGAACTCGAACAAATGTGTGATCACGTTTCAAATCTGTATATTTTAATTAAATAAACTGAAGTATACAAATGTTTTCAGCAAATGTTTTCTTTGCGAATAGCAGCATGAGCCCTCGTGCACTGCCTAGAAACTTAAGCACCATTCTTGAATTATGCAAAATGTATATTTATTTATTCTATTTTCATAAAGGAATTGTAATTCTCGGTAGAACATAAAATTAAATTAATTCATTATATATTTTCTTTTTTTGTTTTTGTTCTAGATACTTGTAAGATTAAAATTATCCAGAGTTGTTGAGAGAGAAATTAAACAGACTGAGATGTGAGATTGGATATTTCAAAAAAATCATTTAAACGGCTGTTATATTTCTATGCTGTTATTTGAAAAAATACAATTTTACATATATACAGACACACAGTTAAGTCGAATTTTTCTTTTGTGATTCCATAATATTATTTATATAGGCATTTGCAGAAGTGTACGTATATATTATACATAACAAAGTGTATGTATATATTATACATAACAATGTACATGCTAAATATAGATAATTTGGTTGACCAATAATAAATACTTTCTTCTCGTTTTGAAACCATCATTTTTATAAGGATATCCGAATATAGTGTTACGCGCGCGCGCGCGCGGCGATAGATTACAATACAAATAGAAATACAAGAAGCGACAGAATATGATTCCTTAGAAGAATTATAATGCTTGTATATAGCCTAACACAAAGTTTTTTTTAAGTGATGCATTTTTTTCTTTTTCTTTCTTTCTTTTTTTTTTTTTTGTTATTAAACGCACAGATAGAATATCCACAATTTATAAAAGTTATCTGTTATTTTACAAGATAATACTGAAACTTAAAATGTATACTAGAAAGTATGTATTACTTTTCTTTTTACCATCATGTTTATTCCTTTTTTTTAATTTTATTCTTTTCCAGGGTTCTATGTAAGGAAAACACTCATTTAATAATTAGTGCAGATTTTAAGAATCAAAGTCTGATTATTTCAACTTTCGTTTTGAATTATTACAAACGTTTATATTTATAAACATTGAATTATTTAATACATCTATGCCAAGATGTAGAAACAATTCTGTATCTAAAAAAAAATGTATTGACAATGAAAGTTGATTTTATATATTTTTATAATTATTATCAAAGTGGATGTAATTGCACAATTCTAATAATGTTCTGACGGTACAAGGAAACTACTGAAACTTTATCAAATTGACAAAATTTGAATTTTCATAAAAGTCTAACATTACTTAAGGTAATACACTGTTTTATGAACAATATTATAACACAGAAAATTTTTATCATTGGTTATCAGTATCTATAATACACATAATTTTATTTTTTCTCGCAACTTTATAACATTTTTGCAATCTGGCACTGAAAAAGATCCTTTCAGTGTACAGTCAATCAAGTCTATAAAAATTGAAACAATAACAGACTGAACGTCCAGTAAGAAGAGAAATCTATCTACCTCAATCAGGTAATACAAGTAAAATTGATTGACTTAATAAATTCATTAATATGTTAATCATAATAATAAAATGGATCACAAAGTGTTACAAATCATTTGAAAATATTTGATTTAAACAAAAATAAATTACATACAAAGAAAGTTGTATACAATATTGAATTGTATCTTAATGAATCTTTTAATAATCTGCTGATTTATCACACCATTATAAAAATTGTCACATTAAGACATAATTCATTTTTTCTTCTTCGAGCAATGAGCATTTCAAAGATTTATTACACCGTGAAACTTGTTTATTATTACGATTAATTATTTACAATAATTGAATCGGCAATTTGGCGTGCTTCCGTTCAAACACACGCTCGCTCGAACACATACACGCATACGCATTAAATGACAAAGACGATAAGGCACAGAATACACGTTATTACTTATGAGCAATCATTTTACGTGATTGCACAGCCCCGATAAATGGAAAAAAAGGCAAGAGCATGAAAGGAACTTGTATCATAGAATTCTATGTTGTCAAGAAAATTATGTAGTTATCTTGTTTACATAGGTGAAAATATCATGTCACTTGCAATTGTATTTCTTTTCAGATTATTTACATTAGTACAAAAATCGTGTACTAAATTTAAAATAAAGAAATTTTCTTTTCAAATTGCTTGATATTTTCACACATGGATCACGACAAATAATACTTTATGACTTATTCAAATATAAATTATCTTTGCTTGATTCTGATTACTTAATTCCTAGCTGAAGAAATTAAATAATTCATAAAAGTACAAGGGTTACAGTTTTAAAAAGAGGATTCAAGTACCGCGTGTAAAAATGAAATTTTCCTGACTACTATGAAAAGTTTAATAATTTATTAGACAGTTGAATTTAATTTTTACAACCAGTGAAACATAATTATTAAAATAGTAGTCAATTTGTGCCCTAGGGTTATCACAAAAACACGAGTCAGCCTCTCTAAAAATTCATCTCAATTATTATTTGAGACATCTTTTACTGAACTCATCTGTTACTTTGAGTCTTATTATCATGAAAGATCATATATACACGTGTATAGCCTTTTTCAGATTATTCGGGGCGGTGGTAAAAAAAATATTGCAAATATATGTATGTATATATGATAATATTAGATATTATGTATGTGTATGTGTGTGTGTGTGTGTGTGTGTTTGTTTATTGTGTGCACTGTACATATTTCATATACCATTAAGAGTATTTACATTAAAAAAGTTGTTTATTCTTTAAAAAACCAATATCCTTATGGAAAAGATTCCAAATTTTATTTACAATTCATTACTTAAAAATACATGTTCAATTTTTTCACAAAATACTCTTAATGATATAGAATATATACATTTTTCATTGTTATCTCACTCTATTACTGTCATTGTTCGAAAAATTTTTTAACACTTTACAATGAAAATCAATTGCACAATCTGATTATTATAAAATGTTCATTTTAAGTCATAATTTTTCCCGCCATTCAAAAGAATATTCTCTTAGTACATTATCTATATAATATTTAAATGGCTAAGTAAAAGTATTACAATAATAACAATAATGGCATTCTCTTTTGCTGATTTTACATGATAAATAACATAGAAAATGGAAATACTAATTTGTTTGATATAAATATGTAATTAAGGTAAAGTTTCAGATATATGCAAAGTTTTGATTACTGAAAATAGTAAAAATAAATATTTTTAAGTTATCATAATTTATCATTTATACATATTGGAAAATAAAATTATTGAAAATTAACAAATATTAGCATCGAACATTTCATGACATATGCTTCTTTAGAATTTTTTAATTTCCATTTAGTGACTAATTAACTGTATAAAAGTAGTACCAGTTACACCGTACTTATATACTTATACTTAATGTATAGAAATATTTACATCTTCCTTTCATACATGGCCTAATAGATTTGTAAAGAAGAATTTTTCAAGTTGTTCTCACGTAACGACACACAAAACAACAATTTCATAAGAATTTTTACCTTCTTCAATACAGTCCACATGCATAACCGTCGCCAATTATATATGAGTAAGGGTATTAGCACATAATGTACAGTTATGAAATAGATCATGCACGATTTCGTGGGGAATGATTATTCAGCTGAAAATCATCACGAGACTTACATATTTTTACTGTCGTTAATTTCAATCATGATATATAGGATGTCTCATGATCAATGATAAAATCTGATTCAATTTGTTTGTACAGCACTACAACTCTATACAGCAAAAAATTTTGAACTTAATTTTCAATACACAAAAGATAGAAATAAATTTTGTTCTCAGTTCTTATTCACTTTTGTATGCAAAATCATTTGATTATGGATTTAAATATTAACTATGAGAAATCTTGCATATAATGTTCATTCTAATGACAAAAGCGAATATAGCGTTCCATTTATGATTGCTGAAATCATTACCTAGTATTGGAAGCACCAATTCATTTTCATCAGACATAGAAGAAAGATATGTATACAAAGAAAGATTCATATATTAACCTTAATGCATTATACTATAATAAAAGAATCATTAAATAACTAATGACTTGATCTTGTTCTTTAATCGAAGATCTTTAGGATAAATGTCCTAGTAAACTGTTATCAAATGTTTCTTCAGTCTTGGGAGAGTAAAATATTCCTTGATTCGCGAATAGTCCCTGTTTGATTCTTTTACCACGGTATTCGTTCGAAACTAAATTATTAATTAAATACAAAGGGCATTTCATACATGTATTGTTCTACTGCATAATGCATTATCTTTCACATCTCTTTTGTTTCACTACCTAGTATATTTGGTTTTTTTTATTTCTATTTTTTTTTTTTTTTTTTTTTTTTTTTTTTTTTTTAACTGGTCTATATTAATTTTCTTTTTTTTTTTAAGTGTTATGGCTATGAAGGAGAGTTTCAAGATATTGTCCTTTCAGTAAAGTAATAATTGATTTATCAATATTTGAACTTATTGGAAATAAGCCCAAGTTTATTGTTACATAGAAAATTATAACAGTTGATTTTTCTTCTACCAAATTGTAACTATAATGTATATTACAATTATAGTTGTTTGACGTATTTAAATATTCAGCAGAGATAATTATTATTGTATTTTTAGTTATTTAAATAAGTAATATTTATTTATATATTTTGTATTTTATTTTATTTGTTCAAGTGATATTTATCTATTATTTATCAAAATGATATTTATTTTCTTACTTAAATAAGTAACATTTAACAAATATTAGTATCAATGTGATTCACTGTAAATAAATATTTTACTTCCTCTTTTTAGTAAAGTTTCACAGATTTTTTTTAACGCGTCGAATCGTAAAGAAAAAAGGAAAATATATGAAAAATGAGGGAACAGTTTGACGTATCGATCCCTCGAGATCGAAGTTGCTACACGAAGTGCAGCGACACTTGAAACGAGGAACACGACCGGAAGCCTACGCAGAGAAAGAGAGGATCCGACTTGCAGGGGCAGAGGAGGCGTAATTGCGACGTCCAGCGAAACCGTCGCTTTTATACCTCGATAACTCGACGTCTCCGGTT